TTTGTGATCCCTGTTGTTATAGCAATGCTGTGGAATGGAGTCTTCTTTGGCCTTACAGTTAGGTCTATCCATAACGCAAGACGACAAGCTAGGATGGCCACAGAACACCGAGAAAACCAGACCAGCTACTCCGTGTACGTCAAGATTGCAGTGTTGATGGGTTTTACGTGGGTGTTTGGGGTGCTGGGTTCATTTGTCTCTGTTTATTTGATGTATCCATTTGTAGTATTTTGCACCCTTCAAGGAGTGTACATCGCTTTCTCCTTCACATTTACAAGTCGTGTTCTAGCTTTGTACAAGGCAAAGTTTGGACGTTCATCAAAGAAACATAAACAGTTGAAGTCGGGTTTAAGTTCCCGTGGAACCAAAACCGATGATACCAGAATCTAAACTCTATTATTCGACATATCAAGGGGAAAATTCTGCTCTATGGACTCTAACATTGAGCTATTGAAGCTCTGACTGCATTTGTTTCAATGTCAGCACTAATCTAATATTATATAACTTACACTGATATCCTTACTGACATTATATATTGATTTTAACGGCTTTTTATTGATAATGAGTAAATCACTAGTCTTGTTCACGATTCCCCGTGACATCTTTAAAGGTGGCCGTGCCTTTATATCGTGAAGCGAAACAACCTTTGAGCTTCCAATGATAGGCCTCTGACATGAAATTGTCTGTACGAATGAAAGAAGGTTTCTTTCATTGCACTCACAGCGCCCGTCACACTTCGATGCAAAGGACGGCTACCTTTCAAGATGGCGCAGGGAACTGTGAAGAAGACTGTTGCATAAGACAATAATGTCGTCATTCTGATGATCAGTATTTATAATGGATTTTTAAATTGAGCACGTGTACTTTAGTACAGTGCCCGCCCACACATATATTCGAAAATAAATACGATTAGATGTAATACATCAAAGACGAGTGCGAATGTGTCATCACTCTTSTATTTCCAAATATAAACATCCAGGGCTTGTCTGAAACAGATCTTTGAAGAATGAACAGTTTATGGAAGATTGTAAGTTAAAAAACTCTGTCGCTCATGTTTTTTATACAAATTATTTTGTGCATTTTCTTTTTAGGACAACTACGTTAAGTTAATAATGAATTCTGTAAAGTAGTGAATCTATAGGAAAGGAAACTGATACGAGCTACCTGCCATGGGGGCAATAGTCATACAGAATTTTTAACAGCCAGGTCTGAAAACGGGGACAATATCACAGGCGAATGTGGCGCCCTTCCTTCTTTAAAATAATAGTTTTGTTCCTGGTAAACGTTTTTAAGATMAAAAAAATGCTTATATTACGTTTTTATGGTCAAAAACGGCTTATTTTTTTTAGTTAGCAATTTTTTACTTTCCTGGCAAAAATTCTTATAAAGTATTASTTGTCTGGAGAGTTCTGTTTTTCAGAATTTCTCGCTGGCAACCAGTTGAGACCTACAGCTGGCTGGGACAAAACAGATATATTTCTCCCACAGGAACTCGTCGGCTACTCCTAAAAAGTCGAATGACCGTATGAATGCTGAATGTATTCCGCCGGCTAAAGGGTTCGCAGCCGACT